CTCAGGGTGACCTCGAACTCACAGAGACCGTTCTGCCTCTGCCTCCTGAGTGCCCATTTCACTTCCCCCGTTTCTAACATTCAGTATACTAATAGCAAGACACTGGTTTCACTAATAGAAACCCATTTCTCATTTTAATGCCAATTAGCAAATCCTTCCGAGTCTGCAGGACTAAAGGAAGCTGGAAGTACTGAGGAAGCCACCTTTGGAGTGTGGGACTTCTGAATCATCTGGGTGACCACTCCTTTGGTTTCTAGCCTCAGTTAGGATGGCAGTCTGCCCCCTGGAATGCAGCTTAAATGCATTTCAGAAGCACACAACTGCATTATATTATATTGTCTTCGCCCACGAATTCCAGAGTCAATTGGAGACATCCTCACCAGCTGCTGGCTATTCTGGGAAGCCAGCTGGAAGGCAGGTATTAAGACTCCACCTGGAGGGTTGTCTTGGACCGACAAAAAATTGCCCACAAGCCTTTTGCACCCTACATTCGACCTCAGAAACCCGCACGGGTGGTTATGCGCTTCTCCTTATTCCGTTAGAGGAGATCTCCTCTGACAGGCTTTCCCGTCAGGGTCACGGACGTGCGTTTTATCTGAAACTGGATTCCGGTTCGCCTTATCTGAAGCCTGGAGAAAATTCTGGTTCTTCCCTTATCTTCAAAGGGAGCAGGGCGCACGTTGGCCGACTTAAACAAGACATCATTTTGTGATGTCAAGCCCAGACTCCTGCAATCTGGATTCATTTGCCAGTTCCCCTTTACCCAGTGCAGTTGCTGGTGGCTTCTATTGTGTCAGGCCTGGGGCCCTTGCTCTTTCGTCACCGTTGGTGCCGAACTTTCTGTCCCCCGAAGGGATGGAATTGAACATCAGTCAGGAAGAAAATCTCTTAAGTGTGTGGAAAGAAAATGATCGGGCGTTCTGTAACTCGCAGGAAGGGAAACTCTTTCCTTGTTTATGCCTTCTAGTGTGAAGTTAAAAAAAAAAAGTATTGGAAAGCAATCTTGTCAAGCTATACCATCAGCCCAAACTTAGATTTTGTTGTTGTTGATTTTCTAGGCGGGATTTCTCTGTGTAGCCCTGACTGTGCTGGAACTTGCTATGTAGAACAGACAGACCACAAGCTCCCAGAGCTCCCCACCTGCCTCTGCCTAGCTAGTGCTGGGATTACAGGCGTGTATACCTGGCCTCCAAATTTTGATGGTTAAGCAATGGTTTCGAAAGTTATGTTTTATCATTTTTGTGAGGTGGGGGTGCACATTCGTGTCCTCTGCCATGGTTGGTGTTGTGTGGAACTCAGAGAACAATTTGTCAATAGTTGGCACTTCCCTTCTTCCATGCAGGCCCCAGGGATTGAACTCGGTTCATCAGGCTTGGTGGCTGGTATTTTATCTTGTCTGCCCGTTTAACCAGTGTGTTTAAGTGACTTGTTGTTTTGAGGTGAGGTCTTGCTCTGTAACACAGATTGTCTTCAAACTCTTGGCAGTCTTCCTGCCTGTCTCTCAAATTCTGAGGTTATGGGATGAGTCACAATGCCCAGTTATCATTTGTGTGTGTGTGTGTGTGTGTGAGAGAGAGAGAGAGAGAGAGAGAGACAGACAGAGAGAGAGACAGAGAGACAGAGACAGAGACAGAGAGTATATGAAGACCTAAGGTCAAATTTCTGTGTCCTTTGATTTTTGAGTTGCTCCCTGGGATTCTTAAATTAGGCCAGGCTGGCTGGTCCCAGGGTCCTCCCATGTCTGCATCTCCAGCACAGGGATTACAAGCACAGGCTACCCACAGCTGGCTTTCTTACATGGGTTCTGGGGCAAAACTCAGGTCTTCATGTAAACACCATACTGACTGAGCCATTTCAAACCCCTATTTAACTCAGTTTAACAGAAGACATAGAACTTGTGTTGTCATTTCTAACTCAAAGCCCATATATATGTAAATTATATATATTATATATTATTCTTCTATATATATTTTTTATTTTTGACATGGCAAAAACGTACTCTTTTCAGGCTTTCAGCATTTCGTACCCGGCTGCTTCTAGTTCATGAAGGATTCCTTTGTGATCTAGACACGGTTTCTGGGCTCTCAAAAGAGCCTTCAGTGGATCAGCTTGGCACTCTTGAGCTTTGAAGTGCTTAGGACAGGGTTGATGCAGGAGCCAAAAATCCAGTTTCTTGAAAGTGCTGTGGAAGACGGGCTGGGCACCCCTGTTTTAGAGACTGACAGAGCCCCAACGGAGTCAAGGGCTTCATTTTGGCCTCACTCTATGAAAACTCTGGAATAAACTTGTGGCTTCACAGGCAGCGTGGGAAGTCCAGCTTTTTTTTTTTTTCTTCAGGAAAAAGCTTGTCACCCAGGGCTTAAGGTTGCTTCTCATTTCATCAGACTCTGCCAAATACATTCCCTGCCTGTTTAATGATATCACTGAGTAAATGCCTTCTGTTTCTCTTCCTTTATACGATAGTATCTTCCTTCGCAATTGTTCTGAGGTGTTTCAGCAAAGCCGTGGTTTTTGTTTTGTTCTTTTAACTTTCTTGTGTCCCCACTAGCTTCCTATTACTTTCTATTTTCCCTTCTAAAGTTAGAGAGAGAAGGGACACCCTGCTTTTCCGGTAGTTCATCACTGGCTTGCCGAGGCTGGTGTCGGAAGTGACTCGCACCTTCCAGCACCTTCCCCCGGTTGCGCTGCAATCACGTTCCACAGAGCGAGCCAGCTTCGGCCCTCGCTTACTGGAACTGAATGTCTGCCACCAAGTTTCTGCACTGAAAATTTCTGAATTTTGTTTTTTAAACTCCTGCCTTCCGGTCCTGGAGAGTGAACCCTAGGGGGTCCCATGCATGCTAGACAAATGCTTATCCTCAGTATGTTTCTGTAATTCCGAAAGAGAGGAGTAGAAGGTGCTGATACCCACCTTATGAAACATGGCTTTGCTTTAATGGCATTAAAATGTCAGTGAAGAGTCGAGGATGCAGCTTGGTGGTAGCATTTGCATAGCAAGCCCAAAGCCCCCACTGGCATAAAATTAGGAAGGTGGTAGTATTGACAGGCATCCTGCTTCATTCTAAAGATGAAAGAGCCCCCAATTCTTGATGATCAAAGTGGTGGCCTTTAATCCCAGAAGCTGAGGGCAGAGGTAGGCAGATCTATGAGTTCAAAGTCAGCATGGTCTACATTGTGAGTTCTAGGACAGCCAGGGTTATACACAGAAATCCTGTCTGGAAAAACAAAGCAAACAGCAACAAAAACAGAAAATAATAAAAGCATTAGTGATTCTAGTGGGATGAAGGAAGGGGTAAATGAAACCAAGGGACGGACAATGTATGAACATGTCCTAATCAAAGGCATTGTTTTGTATACCAAAAAAAGAACTTTTTTTTTTTTTGAAGACAGAATTTCTCTGTGTAGCCTTGAGTGTCTCAGAACTCTCTATAGACCAGGCTGGCCTCAAACCCACAGAGATCCAGCTGAGGGTGTGTGTGTATACACACATACATATATATGTATATATACATGTGTGTATATATATTTTTAATATATAATTAAAAAAAAACCCTCAGAGTAACAGGTGAGCAGCCAGATAACAAGACTATGTAGATGCGACAATTGAGAGGAAAATGTGATGTCCTATGAAAAACGTAAGATCCCATATTCTTATTAACCACAGATTGTGATACCGTGTAGAAACATTTTAGAAACTGGAGTGACCATGCCATTGGCCACTAGCTCTTTACAGCTTTGGGTAGCTAAGGAGAGTTGTGTTATGCAGTCCTGAAGAACAGAACTGTAGTTAGCGGCCTTGGTTATGGTGTTTGTAACGTATATGGTCAATTGCAGCCTTGGCAGTGGGGAACTGCAGCTTGTGAGAAGCCAGGAAAGGGATCTACTGCTTTCCTGTATAGAATATGGAAAGAGTCCTAAGGTGTCTTATCCCCAGAATAGTTATGTTACATCCAACCAAGAATTATATGTCTTTGAGAAGAAAAGTAGGTCCACAGAAAGACCTTCTTTATATACTTGGGGGTGCCTAGAAATAGTCTCTTCAGAAGCCTGTGATTGTCTGTAATAGCTGTACATTAACTATGCAATGTCATCTACTTTAGTTTTATTTCATGTAACGTTTTTTCTTTGCGTGTGCGTGTGCGCACATATCTGCATGCTTGCGTACCTCATTGTGCATGTGGAGGTCTGAGAACAGCTAGCAAGAGTTGGTTCTTTCTTTCCACTTTGTGGGCCCTAGGGTTAACTTGCATCCTGGGGCTTGATGGCAGGTGCTTTTCCCTGCTGAACTATCCTGCTGACCCTTTCTGCTACTTTAGGAGATAACATTTCAGATGAATCTTGTGTGTGTTAGCGGTCAGGTTTATTTTCTCTTGCTGTGCAGAGCACCCTGGCCGAAAGCAGCTTAGGGGAGCACGGGGTTTGTTCGGCTTATAGTGCTAGATCATAGTTCATCACCGAGGGAAGTCAAGGCAGGAACTCAAAGCAGGCCCGGTTTGCTAGTTCACGCAATATTTCCTCCAGCCTATGAACTCACTTCCCTGTCAAGAAGTACAGCAAGAACCATGAAGGACGCTGCTTGCTGACTGGTTCAGCGCTTGGCTTGTATTCAATTAGCTTTTAGGCTTCTCTGTGTAGGGATAGTACTGTCCACAGTGGGATGGCATAGGATAGTACTGTCCACAGTGGGATGGGCCTCCTTCATCAATTAACCGACAAGGTAATCCCTCATAGACATGCCTGCAGGCAAATTCTGTAATTCCGGCTCTCCTCTCAGATGATCTAGGCTATATCAACTTGATAGTTTAAACTAACCAGGAGAGCTACGCGTCACCACACAGAATGGATATTTAAAAGATTATTGAAGAGAGATCTCTATTCAAAAGCAAAAGTACGTGCCTCTGTTCGTTCCTGTTTCCTCCTTGTTACTATGAGTGAAGCTCTGTGCATCTCTATCCAGAAATGGGCATCTCACCCATACTTGTGTTTTCTCTTTCTTCCAGAAGCCTCCCCAGCTTTCTGAGGATGCTAACCAGCTGAGAAGCAAGCAGGACGACTGTGGTGACACTCGCCTGGAGCCTGCTGCCAGCTCTCCCTCCCCAGATCGCAAAACCATGGAAATTGAGGTGTCCGTGGCAGAATGTAAAAGTGTGCCCGGAGTCACCTCTACCCCCCATTCCAAGGACCACTCTTCCCCCTTATACTCGCCCTCACACAATGGCCTCCTCGCTGATCACCACGAGTCCTTAGATAACGATGTTGTCAGAGAGATCCAATATCTAGACGAGGTGCTGGAGGCCAATTGCTGTGACTCCTCTGTGGATGGGACTTACAACGGAATCTCCTCCCCAGAGCCTGGCGCGGCCACACTGGTGAGCAGCCTGGGCTCACCTGCCCATACGCCTACCCCCTCAGCTACTCAGGCCGAACCCACTGAGACAGCACCCGGCAGGCATGTGCCTCCTCACATTGAGCTCAGTAGAAGCCCTTCTGACACCATGGCTGAAGGAGAAAGAGCCAATGGGCACGCCACTGACCAGCCCCAAGGCATGCTGGGGGACGGCCTGCAGGCCCCTGCCAGTCCCAGCTCCTCTACCAGCTCGCACTGCTCCTCCCGAGATGGGGAGTTCACGCTCACCACGCTGAAGAAGGAGGCCAAGTTTGAGCTGCGGGCCTTCCACGAGGACAAGAAACCCTCCAAGCTCTTCGAGGAGGATGAACGGGAGAGGGAGCAGTTCTGCGTGCGGAAAGTGAGGCCCTCGGAAGAGATGCTGGAGCTGGAGAAGGAGCGGCGGGAGCTCATCCGGAGTCAGGCCGTGAAGAAGAATCCGGGCATTGCCGCCAAGTGGTGGAATCCCCCCCAGGAAAAAACTATTGAGGAGCAGCTGGACGAGGAACATCTGGAGTCGCACAGAAAGTACAAGGAGCGCAAAGAGAGAAGGGCACAGCAGGAGCAGCTACAGCTGCAGCTGCAGCAGCAGCAACAGCAGCAACCGCCCCTGTCCCAGCCCTGCACAGCCCCAGCTTCCCACGAACACCTAGACGGCATTGAACGCACCAAAGAGGATGTGGTCACCGAGCAGATTGACTTCTCTGCGGCACGCAAGCAGTTCCAGCTGATGGAGAATTCCCGGCAAACGGTGGCCAAGGGCCAGAGCACACCACGGCTCTTCTCCGTCAAGCCGTTCTACAGACCGCTTGGATCCCTCAACTCAGATAAGCCGCCAACCATCTTGAGACCAGCCACCCTTGGGGGACCTCTGGAAGACTGCAGCAGCCAGGCAGCCAAGGGGCAGAGAGGGTCCTGTGTATCCGAGAGCCAGTCTCCAGGAGCAGGCCCGGGTAGCACTGCCACTCAGGGAAAGGAAGGGCCATACAGTGAGCCTTCCAAACGTGGACCCTTGTCTAAATTGTGGGCAGAGGATGGGGAGTTCACGAGTGCCCGGGCCGTGCTTACTGTAGTCAAGGACGAAGATCATGGGATTTTGGACCAGTTTTCAAGATCTGTCAATGTGTCTTTGACCCAAGAGGAGCTGGACTCAGGTTTGGATGAACTGTCTGTGAGGTCTCAGGACACCACTGTCCTGGAGACTCTGTCCAATGACTTCAGCATGGACAACATTAGTGACAGCGGAGCTTCCAACGAGACACCCAGTGCCCTTCAGGAAAACTCTCTGGCTGACTTCCCGCTGCTCCAGACTCCCCAAACAGACAACCCCTCAGAGGGCCGAGAAGGAGTCTCCAAGTCCTTCAGCGACCATGGTTTCTATTCTCCTTCTTCCACGCTGGGAGATTCTCCATCGGTGGATGACCCCTTGGAGTATCAGGCTGGGCTCCTGGTGCAGAATGCCATCCAACAAGCCATAGCTGAGCAGGTGGATAAGGCTGAGCCGTACACCAGCAAGGAGGAGCCAGAGCAGCAGGGACCCGAAGCAACAGCCGAGGAAGCTGAAAGCCTGGCTTCTGGCACCGGGAAACCCCAGAGCATGTTTGCGCCACCTCAGGTGTCCTCTCCCGTTCAAGAGAAAAGGGATGTGTTACCAAAGATCCTCCCCGTGGAGGACAAGGCACTCAGGGAAAAGGGGCCCTCCCAGCCACTGGCAGCTGTACAGCCCAGCGGGCCAGTCAACATGGAAGAGAGCAGGCCCGAAGGAGGCTACTTCAGCAAGTACTCAGAGGCAGCCGAGCTGAGAAGCACAGCCTCCCTCCTGGCTACGCAAGAGTCTGATGTCATGGTTGGGCCCTTCAAACTAAGGTCAAGGAAGCAGCGGACTTTGTCCATGATCGAAGAAGAGATCCGAGCAGCCCAGGAAAGGGAAGAGGAGCTGAAGCGACAGAGACAAGCGGCCCAGAGCGTCCCCAGCCCCAGGGCCAAGAATGCCCCATCGCTGCCTTCCAGAACTCCCTGCTACAAAACTGCTCCAGGTGAGTGACAGTCGCATTTTGAGCCCAGGTGTTGTGCAGAGCACCTGCTGCTTCCACGGTTCTGTAGGGAGCCTCCGTTATGCCTGTGGCAGGAGGATTTCCGCGACTGCGAGGATGCCAAACTTAGGTGGTGGTTGCTATTTCTCAGTGGGTACCAGGGCTCCTTGCCTCTCAGTCTGCCTAGTCTTGATTTATTGTATAGATTGTTTAATTTTTTTTTCCCCATTGGAGGGTTACTTTTTGGTCAAATGTGGCGTAGATCCTGGTAGAGTGCACCCATGTGCCATCTGTGTCTTCAGATCAGTAACTGGACCTTCAAAAGCTAGAGCTAAATCCATCTATTTTGGGGGATGTGTTCTACAACCCCTTTTGGGATGCTGGCTTTCTTCCTGGCAGTGATGGTCACCATGACTCAGTGTTGCTGGCTATAGACAACTCTATCCATGTTCTTTGTGGGTAGGTTTGGTTTCATTTATATGATCACAACCAGTTACAACCATGCAATAATAGACCACATGTAAGGTGGTCCCATAAGATACCACCCAGTGTGACGTTGTAACCATCTTGGTTTCTTTCTAAGTCTACTCTGTGATGCTCATACCATGAGATGGCCTAGCTATGTCTTCCTCAGACATTTTTCAGAATGTTCCCAACCTCCCAACCTCATGCAAATTGATATTGGGTTATTAGTGCTCACAGGCAGCCTCAATGGACAGAATTTTCAACATCTACCTGTATGTCTGTCTTATTTATCTGTCATCTATCTATCTATCTATCTATCTATCTATCTATCTATCTATCTATATCTATCTATCTAGGAAACATGAGTTCATGCAGAGATCTTTTTCAAAAACTGGTAAGTGTGTGTGTGTGTGTGTGTGTTTGTGTGTGTAAAAGAGAGAGACTGTGAGCATGCTCATGTCATGGTGTGCATTTGGAGGTCACTTGATACCTTTCAGGAATCAGTTCTCACCTTCCACCTTGTTGAGCAGGCTCTTGTTCCCTCACCTGGGCTGTGTAGCCCAGGCTAGCCAGTCTGCAGGCTTCCCTGTGTGTCTCTCATCTTTTACTGTTGGGGCACCGGGAATACAAATGCGCACTACTGCATCTAGATTTTGACTCAGGTTCTCGGGATCCAAACTCGGATCGTCAGGGGTGCATGGCAAGTGGTTTTACCCACCCAGGCATCCCACCCCCCTTTATGTGTTCCCAAGGTCAACTTAAAATACAGTTCACCAAGGTCACCCTGGGGAGCCCATGAGCTTGTTGAACTTATTTACAGAGCACAGGTGCAAGGTTGCATATTGACCCCAAAGTTGCTGCACCGAGATGTCTTTATCTAGCTTGGATGATTGCTTCCTCATAACTGCATAAAATAGAGTTCCCCCTTTGGTTAACCTTCCCTGGCCTATGGATTCTAGAGACTCCGGAGACCTGGAGGCTGTGCACAGTACTGCATACAAATGCCAGGGACGGGCAAGGCCGAGTAGTGGGACTCTCAGATGAGGATTCAGTGACCTTCCCCACTCCCTCTTTCTCTGAGGGAACAGTCAACATATCCACTGGTGATAGTCTTCTGCAAGCCGGTAACGTTTGGTCTGATGCAGATGGCGGCTGTTTTGTTCAGAGGACGTGTTCTACAAAACACATTTTCTCTTTCCACATTTCCAGCTTCCCTTCCCATGTATGCAGCTTCTTGATATCCTCAATATGTTATTTGTTTGACCTCTCTAGCCACACCATGGAAGCAAACGCCTGTTTTCTTCATCAAATTATGTACCAGTATTCATTTCTAGGTGATCACTGTGCCCGCCCCTCTGTGCTGTTTACCTCTCTTAGTAAAGAGACCCTGTCCCTTGTCCACCTTGCTCTGACTCACTGTGGCTCCTCCCAACCCTCTGCAGACCTCATGTTTTTTAGCATCACCGAATGACTCTTGGACCGAGTTGTTCAGGAAGGAAAGGGAAGGGAGGTGGAGGAGGAAGAGCGCAGAGATCTCCTGATGGGCCTTTAATTCCTCCTGGTCCCAGGCCAGAGCCAGTTGAGTGCTTAAGGCAGGAAAACTGTCAGGGAAAGTTTTTGTTAGTGGTTAGCCACAAGATCGTGGCTTTTCCTGGCAATTCTCAGTTGTCAAGTTCACTTGAAACTCTTTGGGGCTGAGAGCTGGCTTGACACGGATGGCAGCTGAGCATCCTGTCCTGGAGAAAAGTCTTTGTACCGCTTGATTTCAGCCTCAGCTTGGGAGTCACTGCACAAGCAGGCTATGGTGATACCCAGATGTTGGCAGCCTCGCGGATGGAGGCACAGTCTGTGTGTGTATTGGCTCCTCCCACTTACATGGAAGGCAGGTATCATGGTTCCCTCACAGCTGCCAGTTACTGCCAACTCTGCCTACCCTGTTGGGTTATTTCATTATAAACCTTTTCTAAAGTCCATATGGACACTATAACAAAACACCTTGGGCTGAGTAATTTATGAACAATAGAAATTTATTTCTTACAGTTTTATAGACTGGGATGTCCAAGATTAAGGCTCTACAATGACCCACATTCTGGTTTATAGATAGAACCCCCTCTTGATGTCCTCATGTGGTGGGAAGAAGGAAGACATGTAGTCCCTTGTGGCCTCTTTCATAAGGGCATTAATCCCATCCCTGTTGACTCAGACCTCACTTTTGCGTCACCTGTCTGAAGCTCCCCGCTGAAAGCATACACTGGTACCTACATTTCAAGGATGCATGGGGTTCCCAAACACCAGACCACAGCAGCGGGTATTCTGGATTCTCCACTCGGTCTCGATGGAGCCTCTCACGCATTGCCCCCAGCTTTACTTCTAACACATCAACTGTTGAGTGTGAGACGTGCTGCTACTTTGTCTGCATTTAGCTGATGCACTCGTCAGGCTTCCCTATTAGCATTGGGTTTGCCCTACAAGAAGCCAGGGTTCCAGTGTTTGCTCCTTGACCTCCAGCAGCGTGGCTCCAGTTTCTCTAGAACCTTCTCCTGTGTGGATGCTGGTCTCCTTCCCCATGTCTTATCCTCACAGCATTCATTTTAGTCCCTCTAAAAAGATAGTAATTGTCAGGTATGATGCCCATTTTTAATCCAATATTCAGGAGGCAGAGGCAAGAGGATCTCTATGAGTTCGAGCTCAGCCCGGTCTACGTTGTGAGTTCCAGGACAGCCAGGTCTATGCTCTGTAGAAAGACCCATCTCAGAAAACAAACAAAAAAGTGCTGGGCAGTGGTAGTGGCACACCTTTAATCCCAGCACTCAGGAGGCAAAGGGAGGCGGATCTCTGTGAGTTCGAGGCTAGCCTGGTCTACAAGAGCTAGTTCTTTGACAACCAAAGCTGTTACACAAAGAAACCCTGTCTCAAAAAACCAAACTGGATGTGGTGGGGGAGAGACAGTAATTTATCGGTGTTCTGTCCTGATCTTGTTGCCACATTGAACACAGTCATAGTATGATGCACACAGACCCCATTAATTCATATTTATAGCCAGAATATGCAGAAAAGACACCATGGCTTCCTAGAATTACAGCGTGGAAAGATGAATCAAAATTTAAGTGAATGAAAACTTCACTTTTCTTCTTTCCACTCCTGGAAACCTCTGGAGTATTGCTTGGCCAGGGGGAAGCTGACACATTGCTCTGGCAATTTGTGGCTTAGAACTTCTGGTTCCAACATGGGCTTTTATGAATGAAATATTGCTAGCTCTCTCTTCTGCGCCGCTTCATGCTTCCTGCCAGAAGTGACTCAGTTGGTTTTCTGTGTGATTCAGATCAGATTAATGATAGTAGGTGCCGAAAAGTAATAACTCACTCCTTATCTGGGAGAAATCGTGCCGGCCACATGCTGCATCCTAAGACTGTAAGCTGATAAAATCCACCGAGAACGGGTGTGCCAGAGTAGGAGAGATGTGCAGATTCTTCCCCCTGTTAGCTAAGAAAACCTCCAAAGGCTAGGTATTGACAAGATGCGTGGAAGGTGTCTCCTTCTCCTACCCCCTTTATAAAGGAGTGGTGAAGGCATGTAGTTCTATCTGCCCGGGAGGCTGAAGCAGGGACCTCATGTTCAAGGCCTGTCTGTGCTAGAGAGAGCAGGAGGCCAGTTTAGGTAGCTTAACTCCTTTCTCAAAATAAACAAGGAAGGAAAAGGCTGGGGGAGTTCAGTGGTAGAGCGATTGCTGAGCATGCACAAGGCCATGGGTTCAATCCCCATACCTCAGAAAGAAGAGAAAGGAAGAAGAAAAAAGAAGCCCCTTTGACAGATGTACGAGCCCAGTTTGAAGGGGAAACCCATACATTAGAGTAAAATACCCTTGAGGAGAGAATGGGATATGCCTCCCCAAACATCTTTTAAAACCCAAGCAATAATTAAGAGCCCCCCAAAGTCCTTGCATTTTGTGGGTGCCGATACCCAGTTCTCAGTGCTTGTATCTATTATTAGGTATCACCCAGTTTCATTCCCAGCTTCTAAGAACGCCAGGGACATTCAGGGAGGTGGTGAGCAACTTTGTTTTCTGATAGTTTCTGTTTTCACACCGGATGTTGACCTGATAGAGCAAGCTGGATGGTTTTCGAGGTGAAGTGGTATTATTATGGGGAACGGTTAAAGAAAAAAAAGGTAGGTGTGAACATCGAGCCCCACTGCTTGGAGCATCTGCCTGTGTCTTTTCATAGGGGGTGACCAGATGGCTGTGTAGATAGGCTTAGTGCCATATGTCAGAAATCCTAGCACTCAGGATGAGACAGGAGGGTTACGGGGCCAGCCTGAGCAACACTGGAAAGTTAAGGCCAGCCTGAACAACATAATAAGAACTTGTCTGAACATGCTCCACCCTCCATTCCCCCTTCCCCCCAATTCACTCACACAAAGAAAAATTTAGAGGAAATCTTGTTATCAGTTTGGGCTATAGTTCTGCATGAGTTGATTATTACCTTAATATAAAAAGTATTAACCGGCTTGTTACCCCTTCCTCTTTATTATCTTCAAAT